ATTCGTACGGGTGGGCTGTGCCCAGCCTGGCAGTTCTGGTAGGCGGGCAGATACCTGGGTAGGTACCTAGTCTGGGGGCCTGAAAGGGGGGTGCGCTGCTGGTACTGGTGTTGATGCTGCCCGCTGGTCTGGGTGCTCTTCTGGGTGCCGCGGGCTGGCGAGCTGGGTGGGTTGCAGACAGGAAGCTGCGGGTTGGGAAAACGGGCGGACACTGGACGGACAGGACGGAGTGGGCCACACCATCCAGGCACACCCTCACCCTAGCCCACCCACCCAATCCACATGCTGGCCAGCGATTGGACGGCACCACGGGTACCTTACAGCGGTTCAGTGGTCCAGTGGTCCAGTGGACAGAGTGGGTTCTGATGCCGCCTAGCGGGCCCCTGGTCTGGGCTCGACATGTTCCTGTTCCTGTTCCTGTTCCTGTTCCTGTTCCTGTTCCTGTTCCTGGCTCTGCTTTTCGTGCTGGACACAGTGAGTCCCCCCCCACCCTAGCCAGATAGGGCCCCGTCCATCGTCCATCCCATTGTCCATCTGGGTCTTGGACGGACCATTCTCACGACACTCGGGCGGGACATGACCAGGGCAACGTCCACTCACTGTCAGCCTCCATGCGACAAGGTGGATCCTTTTGGTTCATCGCTCGCGCCTCCCCCATCCTAAGCGTTTTGCCGGAGTCCCTTCCCCCCTCCCCCCCCCCTATCGCGCTTTCCTTTCTCTGCGTCGCTGTCCACCAACAGGAAGGACCAACAAGCGTCGGAAGGTCCTCTTGGACGCCCAGAGCAGTCAGTGACGGATGACGGTACCTTCCTTTCCCTTTCCCTTTGGAAAATAGGTACCTTGGTCGATGACGACGGCTTACCACTTCGTGTTCCTTCCGCATCCTCATTGCTCCCTCAACCCCTCAATCCTGTTGCGATAAATAGCATCACTCATCGACAATGGCCTGCCAAGTCGGGTTCCAAAAGTGGTGTGGTGCCAACAACGTTCGACGACGTGATTAGAGGAATCTGCATCATCCCTTTTCTTCCAACTCGGCTTCCCCCATGTACTCGGGCTGGGGCTGAAGTTCACACTCTCTATCATCCCATCGTTAGCAGACAGATAGACAGAGTTTTGGACCTCAATAGGACCCCAGCAGCCCCCCACCCGACTGACACTGACACCAAAACTGACACCAACACCGCTCTTCCTCTGATCATTTCCTCATCCTGTCTGCTTCACCAAAAAACTTCCTGGCCTGTCTGTCGCCCACCGGACACTGTCGCCGAGGACCCCTCCTCGATTCGCGTCCACACCAAGCCGCCGCCCACCTTCGCTCGCCGTGAACGGCAGGCGCGCAGTGCGTGGTTTGCTGCGACGTCGAAGACCCATGTTGAGTGGCCAATGATGCTCGCGGCCGGGACTGGATCGCTGGATCATGTGGAACAACCCTCCGCAGGACAACCCTTGTTCTCAGAGGGGCCGGGACGGGGGGGGGAGGGGGCCAAGAGGACAGACCAGACACAACAGAGCGGTGTCGCGCTGTACTGCTCGAGTACCTCGCGCCACATCACGGCCAGGGACGCCGTCATGCACAGAGCCGCTGGACGACCCCACGTCTCAAACGGGGCAGCATCTCTGCGACAAGTCTCTCCAGTGTACATTTCGCCCGACAAGCCAAACGGGGTCGGCAGGGAAGACAACACAACACACGGAGGGACAACCCACTCCGTCTGCGAAAACGTTTGAAGAACAGTGTCTGTCGGTCGCTTACAGCCAGTCTGGGCAGACGGCGTGAGCAAATGGAATCGAGTCAAAGTCCGGATATCCCTGTCCAGGCCGTCTGGCGGCGTCCCTCGCCTTTTTTTGGTTCGCGGGCCTTTGCTGACGCTTGTTGATTGTTGTCATGCAGGCCAATCCCTCGCACTGTCCATGCAAGCTCAGGCTTCTTCTGTACTTGTTCACGACGATCCAACATCCCTGTCGGCTTTTCTTCCTGTCCTACGACCACGAGCACCCGCCCGTCCGCCCCTTCTCCTCCACTGTCCACCATTCGTCGCATGCTACTGTCTCAACCGTCAACGAACCCAGCCGGTCGTACTCTGGATCTCTGGATACACCTACAGATGCCCCATGTCTCGCGGCCTCATGCGAGCCATTGTGGCTTTATCTGAGTCTGGTCGTGTGTTCTGTCTTTACGGGTCGTTGGGAACGATCTCGGGCCAGTCGAACAGGTCACGGTCAAACAGACTCAACAACTCTGGCGGCAAGATGCGATCGTCGCATCCACAAGGTCGTAGCGATGGTGTTGTGGCAAACCACAAGAGCCTCCTTGTCGTGACCAGGGGGTGGACAAGCTGCAGAATTGCACCTGGTCCTGCGCCCGCTCCAGACCAACGCCTATCTAAACTTGCGCATTCGGTCTCTACCCCTCGTTCGTACGTGCTACACACACAAACAGCGAAAGATGGCTTGGGAGAGAATGTCACTCTGCCTTCGTCTGCGGACCTGTTCTGATCTCTTCCGTCCCACGCGCGTGCCGACGCAAACGCCTCTCACTTTCCTCAGCCTTGCTTCTATCACAGAGTCTGACATGACAGCTGGGTCCGCCGAAAGACACAATGGGTGGGCTCCAGGGTCGACGGTTTTTGCGCTGTTGGCTCCTGATGGAGGCTTTTGCACGGCCAGTCTCACGCACGCGGCACGAAGGCTATTGAGGGCTTCAATAGACCTCTCTGTGCCGGTTGGTATTTCAGCTGTGCCTCCGAGCAGTTCGTCCCCACTAACTAGTCTTACCTCTCCCTACGGATCTGACAAACACCGCTTAACGCTCGGGACTATCTCACAGCGCGCCTCCCCTGATTCAGCTCTTTAGCGACTCTCTATACAGTAGTTCGAATCCACAGAGTCTGTCACAAAGAACGGAGTAAGCCGCCCCGGACCCAAGCTATTCTTCCTCGGCCAGACTACCCGTGATTTTTCTTTTACCAGCCCATGGAAAGACTGGTGGAGAGCCAGCCGCATTTTCTTTGATGCCAAGCTTTTCCATTACCAGTCCGCCTCACTGCTCCGATCTGAACGCACCAAGAGACAGATCCAGCCTTCAACAGCTACTTCCTCCTACCTGTTGGTACGACTTGCTCTGTGGATCAGTATTCGTGTCCGACATAGGACAGCGAGCGTTCGAGGCATTGCCATTCAACCCACACCGCACATCATTCTGTTTGGTGACCTTGACCAAAAACAATGGCCAATGTCTGCACATTGTGTAATCGCAGATTTGTCGGAATAGTTGCAAGGCAATGGCTGGGTTCTCGAACAATGGCCTGCCGTCATAAATCTGACGATAGCATCTTGCTCATGTCTGTAGCCACGGTTGGCGACAGACAGGGAGGCCATACGAGTTAGAGGCTGCTTCCGTTTATTCTGCTTGGCCATGAGACGGTCACACGGCTGGCGCGCCATAGCGCAGTGTGTTCCTGCAGAAGCGTCATGCAGCTAAACCGACAGCGCCTTGGACACGAGAAACACCAGCGCTGCGGGCGGATAGGCGCTAACCTCTTTAACCATGACCTCATCCCGACATCCCCGTCGCGTCCAGAACGCGCCGTGGGACAACCCATCGCAATGGCCCAGATCATGTCTTGAACCTGCCAGCATTGGGCCTCTGAAGTATGTAAGGGGTGGGTGCGGACAAGAATTGTTGTGAGCCGGACGGCATCCAACGGCAAGCAGGTTTGGCGGGTCTGGTCTGACTTGCCCTTTACCGCCGACTCGGCGCGCCCCCAAAATACATCTGGCCGACAGCAAGCGGCCGGACCAGCTGAGGCTCTTGGCATCAGCGCTGTCAAGACGCCGCCGTCGCGAGATTTGTTCACGGCAGTCCATATTCCCTCAGCTGGCCACGTTTTCTTAGGAAATGCCACTCAGAAGCGCGCGCCACGTTTGTCTGCAAGTTTTGCCGCAATTTCACCAGTGTCGGTGGCTCTCAAAAGGACCAGAGAACACAAGTCATCTCAGAGGGAACACTTGGCCGCTCGATCCGCGATGGCATCGAGACACCAAGGCCCAGTGCTGGACGTCGTCACTAACACGTAGGAGGAGGAGCAAGGAACGGAAAACTCGTCACACATGAGCACGAGACCGCGCGAGAAACGGCTGGCGACAAGAAGGGAAACAGTGTTCTCAATGATCAACACACACTGTCTGCGTGTCTCCGCTTTACCCCTGAACCTTCTGGGTCTATCCCAGTACCTCGCAGCATCGGCCTACAGCCTCTCTGAGCCAGCCAATGCAACACCAAGTGGCGCCTGCGAGCCACTACGGCTGCCACGCTGACTATGCCGCCGTGGCTTGAATACGCCTGAGCTGGTCTAGCTTGTGATCACGAACCTGGCTGGCCCTCCCACCGCTTCATCCGATCGAGTGGGCGAGGGACGCCTCTCTTCTCTCCTTGTCTCGTACCGTCCTGACTGCCTGACTCTGTCTAGCCATCTCTGAAGCCCCTTGATCTGGTCCTCCATTATTCTGACGTTCGTGTCCATCGTCGCTATCAGTAATTGTTTGTACCCATGGCCGCCAGCGGGAATACGGATCAGATTGTCGTCTCATGGCTCACAGCGTGAGAATTCAGCGATGGGGGCCATTGGGTCCTATCAGGGTATCATTGTCTGTCGATCCGAAATACCGTCGGCTGTCTTTGGCTCGATGAGGTTGATCGGACACTGACTCGTTCGTTCGGTGAAGGGACAGGCAGGCCCATTGCTGATCCTAGCCAGCGCCGGCTAGGGGTATTCGTTTCTGAGGGACCTTCAACAATGCGACCTCGCGTTGTTCGTCCAGCGTGTACCTCACGAAGCTGCAACCCCTTTTCACACAATGTCTTGGCGTTCAGGCGTCCAGCCCACATGGCCTGGGCTCGAACCTACACCAGGCCACACAGCGCGTCTGACCTCGGACGAACTATTTGGGGACCATCGATCCCCGAGCTGCAAGCAAAATCCTGGTGCCAGTTGTTCTCGACAGTCGGGACATGTTCGTTGCGACTCTCAGCCAAGCGTTCGTAGGTAACTATTTGATCTACATGGAATTTTCGAGCCGCCAGTCTTGACTCAAGACAGTGGAAAATCATGGCGTATTTTTCTTGCTTGGGGAATTTCACGTGCTTCACACACTCGACCGTAGTCGCACCCAAGTCTACTAACGACAGCACCCTGCTTACTGCACAGTACAAGCATACCAGACTAGCCAGCTTGGGGACTTCTGCCGGGCCTTCAAACTACCGCCGCAGCATGGTCAAGCAGCCTCAGTTACACCAATGAACAAGTGTAAGCTGCGTCCTGGTGCATGAATGATCATCGTCGAAAGCTCTAGGACACCGCGCGCCCGCTCCTGGATATACGTCAGATCTATCAATCCCGCCCCAGACTCTCCTCACGCTGGCATGTGCGGCGATTGGATATGAGTCGCAAAACGGACGGTTCCACAGAGCTTCCGTGGTGCTTCTGGGGGTAGGAGGGTCGGATCGCCTGGGCAGAGGCGTCGGAAAATACTGGGCCAAGTGTGTACTTCCGACATTCACGGCCATAGTGAATTCGTCTGATGTTGTCTCCTGGCCATTTCTGGAGCTGCAGGCGTCGGTCAGAGCATTCCCGAACAGTGCTGCTGAAACGTCAACAAGCCATGGCGGCCCCGCATGGCTCTACCCAGCAAGCCACGACGATGCTCTCAATCGTTCCCACGCCGGCAGATCCCAGGGATGCCGTCCGGACCGTTATGCGCTTTAGACCAGCTACTCACCCATGCTGTTCATGGCCGCACCAGAGCATCAAGCATCCCGAAATGGATGCCATGATGGCCTTGCCAGGCGCGCATTAGGTGTCGGGCCCGCGCATCGGCAGGCTGTGTAGTTCGGCTGCGACGACCATCGGAAGCAAATCCTAGTCGGGCTCCGGGGTCCACGCCGTCCGTTCGTCTGGTGTCGTGTCCCGAGTATGCGACGCTCCTTTAGCGAGAGGGCCCTGCTGGGATGACAATGGAATCCGCGAGCCGCGTATCTGGGCTCGAGTATCAGGATGTCTGGGGAATATGGGTGACGCATTCGGGAACACTTAGCGTTGCATATTGGTTATTTCTAGCGATTTCCTACAGTTGGTCTGAGCTGATGGGTTTCCGTGTTCACGGGTTCTTGCTGGGAAGCAGTGGGGTCAATGGGCGTGGTCTCGGTCTCGGATTAATTCGCCCGAGTGCTGGTTGTGTGGTGGCAGATGATGACCTCGAAGGACCGAGCCCAGGTCTGCTTGTGCGTGGTGTCATGGAGGTGTCATGGACTCACGGGATTTGAGGGCGTCATGGGTTGCTGCAAGATGGACGTCGAGATATGCCCTGCTTGGCCAGAGGATGTCGAGATGCGCCATGGTCTTGCGTCTTTCCACGAATTAATGTAATATAGAGAGCCGCTGAATTGTTTGACAGTGAGCAGATAACAGGTTGATCATAGGGCCACGAAGGCATGCAACAGCCCATGCCAGCGCTTGTGAGGGAGCTAGTTGTCGTTCTACACAACAGCCTTGCGTAGAAGCTATCGTGCAATACAATGTGCAGATCTCGCCTTGAATACGCACTGGAGGCCATCTCGTGTATATGGTCTACCACGTTCTGCCGTTCACCGCAAGGCCATGATATATACTCTTGCCGCAACAGAAGTGGTAGTTTGGTTGTTTGACTCGGGTCGAGAAGTCGAGTACTACGTATGCTCAACATGGCGTGTTACCACGTCCAAGGAACACGCAGGACGCATGCCCCTTCAGCGGTAGCTGATCTTCATGCCAAGCTTCATGGCCGCCTGGCATCAAACCAGGACCAGAAGACGATGCGGTTGCGCAACATGTTCATGCTCCACAGACATTCAAGCCATGCGATCTGGTCCGCGGGGAAGGTCGTGGAGATGTGGACCAGGCCGAACAGTCTACGGAGCACCGCGAACCATGTTCGTCTCTGGACCTGCGGCGCACTGTCGCCAACAGCTCAGTCGAGTCATCACATTTTCGGAAGCCGAAAGTGGTGCCTATAAAGGGAAGCGGGAGCAACTGGGTAGAGAAGAATCTTCATTCGAGGCCATCGCCCGCTGACATCAGCGGCCGAATGCGAATAACACCATCACTTGCTCGACAACGTACATGTCGAAACTCATCATGAGAAAACACGCCAATTTGTTGATTACTCTCTTAACTACTACACGTCGACCACCGGACCTGCTTTCCGACGTTATGCATCCTTGAGATCGCTCGAGCCCGCGCCCCTCGCCCTCCACCGCACGGCGCCCTGCCCCGAGCTGCCCGCCGGCACCGCATACTCGTCCACGACATCCATCCTCTCAATGGCATCGCACACGTCCGGCGGCGGCGCCATCTTGAAGACGGCCTGGACGTCGCCCTGTGGCGACAGCCCCGCCAGCCTCCAGTTGACGAGCCAGGCCTGGGCCGGCCTCCGGGCGGTGAAGAAGCGCCTCTCGTAGAGGGCGATGAGCAGCAGCGTCGGCGCGTTGACGGTCCTCACCAGCGCGACGTGCACGTCGTGGAAGCGCCGCGGGGAGACAACCATCTTGAGCGGCAGCAGCACGAGGAGGGCGAGGACGTTGCACGCGGGTGGGTAGGCGAATATGGCGTCGCTCTTGACGCCCTCGAACGTGAGGACGGTGCGGCGGAACTGAATCTCGGCTGCCTCGTCGGCGATAATCTTGGAGAAGGTGTTGGTCAACATGGCGACGAGGATGGTCAGGAAGAGGGTATTGCCGAGAAAGGCAAAGGCGATCATGAGGGCCGGGCCGAGGATGAGGTGAAAGTCGACGGACTGGTCGACGCCCGTGCCGTCGAGGCCGAACCAGATCCAGAGCATCCACTTGCCGGTCGTGGCCCAGCTCGGTGTCACGCTGCTGTTGTCATTGGCGTCAATGAGCCACTGCATGGCGAGGAGGAAGCCTGTGAAGCACCAGAGCGCCAGAAAGGTGAGAAGCGTAAAGTCCTTCATCATGGCATGCAGAGAGATGAAGACGATATTGTCGGGCATGAGGTTGAAGGCGAGACGCGTGAGCAGCACGGGAGCTGCAATGCACAGAAGCTTGAGTCCAAGACCATCGGGAAACGTCCCGACCGAAGCATCGTAGATGCGGCCGAGGAGGTAGGCGAAGAAGACACAGGTGAAGGACATGTCGAGGAAGGACCACAATGCCTGCGAGTGGACTTCCCATCCATGCTCGATGATGGAGGCGAATTCCGCGAGGACCCAGCCTGTGGTCCAGACGACGAAAAGCAGCTCAAAGGTCTCGTTGCGGCTGTTGCGGTACGTCATGGTGAGGACATAGAGAACGACAAGGATAACAAAGTGGACGAATTCGATGGCGTTGCGGTTTCGTGGCACAATGAGACGGCGGTGGTTAAGCACCGGTGCTTTGCGCGGGTCGTAGAGGGCGATGGGTTGGTGGCCATGATAGCGGTCGGGCAGTATGTCGATGAAGGAGTTCGGCGTGTAGACGATGCGGCCTTCGTAGACGGCGTTGACAACACGGCGACAGGCAGGAGAGTTAATGAAGGACTTGCTCTCGGAGACAATGGCGAGCTCGAGGGCCGTCAGGCGGCGGCCGCAGTCGTTGTCGGCAGTCTGTTCCTGGACTGGCCACTGGAGTTTGCGGCCCTCGGACTGGACAGCAGTTGGGGCCCCGTGGAAGGGATCAAAGCCTTCGACTAGAACATGAGAGAGCAGCAGGAGGCCCTGGGGGCCGGGATTGGCCTCGTGGAAGCGGCGAAGGACCTGGGTGGCGGCAAGTTCGCAGAGTGTCGACCTAGCGAGGTTGATGGTCTGGTCCAGAGTCCTGGTCTGCTCGCGGAGGAACTGCACGCGGTTGGCGAGCAGGGCGTAGACTGTGTTCGTGTTAGTCTCTTCGTGGTCTATGGGTGAGGAGTAGAGGCTGGCTTCGCACCTGTTGAAATGTTGCTGGGGTCGTACAGCTTGTCCACCAAGGGTCTCACGACAACCGAGTTGACTCTAGGGTCCTTTAATTGTTCTCGAGAAAACTCGTCATCTATGCGATGGTTAGTTATGTTGGGGGTAGTGTTGAATGTTGCCTTGACCAGCTCACCTTGTATACTGGCAATGATCAATCTCCGGACTCTGCCTCGGGTTAGCACAGCTTATGGCTATTGCCCGCCTCGGGTGGCCTCACCGGTGAATTGTCATGTACACGGGCAGGCCTGCGAGGGCTTCGGCTCGCTTCTCGTCGTCTGCTTCAAGCTCTTCTACCAGACAGGCCTCGGTCTCGGAGCGGCTGTCACCAGCATCATCGTCATCGTCATCGAGCACGCCGCGGCTCCTCCAGGCGTCGTTGGCTCGGTCCATCCGGGACTGCAGCGTCTGTCTCTTGGACAGCGACAGCGGCAGCGCAGGCACAGGTCGTCTTCGCAACAGCGAGCAGGTCGAGGTCATAAGCACGGGGTCAAGGCATCGAGTTCATCAGCATGGGGGGTCTTTGCGAGGTCAAGATACGCGAGGGACGCAGCGTCGTTGGGAGAAATCAGAGGTCGAAACTATTGCCTCGAGATTGCCTTAGGTGAACAGAGTCGTGATGGGTGGGGACCACGACGGACACCCTGGAACGTTGGCAGGAAAAAGGGGCTTGGTCCGATTTACCTAATGCCTTCGCTTGCCAAGAGGCGAAATGGACATGCTTTGCGAGCCGTGACGAGACACACGGCTCGCATTACGTATGGGCCGGGGCACATGGTTGTGAACGTAGTTGGAATAGCACATGTTCAGTTGGTCGTGAGTCTGAGGCCATCCATGTTGTGGCGAGCACCAGATATTTGGCCTCAGTACGTACCTTCTGCTCATTGCACCTGCCCTCTCTGCCTTACACGAATAGGTAGGCAAGAAAGTGGGTAGGGCCCGTAGGCAGGCGCAAACAAGGGAGGGATGGCAGGTGCTCATTCACTCCTCAGGCAGGAGGGGCTCCACACTGGCTGATTGCATGTTGTTTCTGCCGTTTCTGACCGCCCCCACAAAATCTATATAATGCCATCTGGTCGCCCGCCATTTATCTGTTTTCCTCTTCTCTTCTTCATACTTACCTTGTTCAGTCTTGGGAGGCTCATGCATCTCTCAAGGCAAAGAGGATGACCTACATTGCACACCGTGGAGTCGGCCTCTTTCGATTGTCCTTCGGGGCCGTCGTGGGCGGAATTTTTGATTTACAAACATTCTTTTTCATTGCTGCTTTCCTGTGCGCAGGGCTGCGAAGAGGGAGACCTTGAACTGAGATATCCATGCAATTCCCATTCCATCTAAACTGCCGCCGTTTCGCAAGACATTCGTGATTCGATGGCTCGTCTGCCTGTGATGGACAAATGGACATGCCTCGCGTCTTAGGTCCACAGAGCCACGCGCTGTCGGCCTCACTGGATACAGGAAAGGTTCCTCAATACGCTTTATGTTTCATCAATATTACTTGTTGTTTTGAAACAACTGTTCCAGGTCGTTAGGTATCTGGTTCGTATTCAGACGTTTCTATCTACTAGCCCTTCAATTCCTCACTCATGCTACATCCCTCCATTCGCATGCGCATCTGGCCATCGATCTGCAGGTTACGTTCCCTCGTGATGCTGTTGAGCACCGTGTACAAAGAGCATCTGGAGCATTTTTTAGTCAGCCTTTTCTTCTCCAACATCTTGCCTCACATCACACCATGTCTCCAAGTCACCAGGGCAGTGAATCAAGCGGACATTCGATGTACGGCAAGGAGCAGGATCAAGTCAGAGGTGAATGTGAAGTCACGTGCTGCAGGCACCTGCCCACGTCCATGATCAGGAACAAGCGCACGGCATCGAGATAGTCCTCCACCTACGAGGATGTGGTGTCACTCTTGATCGCGAGGTTGGATCCCGGGATACTACGCCGCCTCTGAACACTTTGCAGGCTCACGTTTTCTTGTCCTGCAAGAAATCGGAGCAGAGCAAAACTTGCCTGGACGCTTGCCCATCTTGCCATGTTGCTGGCGCATGGCAGTGCGAACGCACGCTTGTCAACGTCCCAGACGAAGGCTGCCAACAACTCACCACTGACCTGCATAGAGAAACAAACGGATCTAGTCAGTACCTCTGGCGGCGAGCACTCTACGATGAGGCCCGGCGGTTCAGACGGCGCTTGCCGGGCTGAACCACCGCAGGCTGCTCCTCCTCCTGCGGCTTGATGCCTCCAACAGGCGGAGCGACAGTTGGCGGATTATAGCGGACGAGATCGGCAAGGGGACCCTCGCGACGGGGTTTCTGACTTGCATGCACTGGCTTGCCGGTCTCCCCCTTGCTCTCCTTGCGCTCCTGTTGGTGCTGGGCATCGCGGGGGCGGCGCACCGGTGTGGCGTCGTGACGCTGATGCTGCTGCTGTCCGTTGCGAGCGCTGTGGTGCGTCTGACTGGCTTCCTGTGATTCCTGCCTGTCATGGTGCCGGTGTGTCCCTGCGTGATGGGTGAGCTGGCGCTCGCCACGGTCAGCCTGATGCTGTCGGCGAGGTGGACTGCTCAGCTGCACATACGGGTCCCGAAGGTAGAAGTAGCGATCATGCGCGCTCTGTCGGTGGACCCAGGGTGCACCGAGGATCTGCTGCGGCGAATACGGGTCCTGAAGGTAGAAATAGCGATCATGCGCGCTCGACTGCTCGATCGAGGGCCCACGGTGGACCTGATGCTGCGGCGCGAAATCGCCGTACGTGCTGGGTGACTGAAAGGCTTGCGGGGCAGGGGTCGACGCGGCAGAGGCAGGGGCAGGGACTTCGCGGAGTTGACGACGAGTGTTGGAGCTGCGGACGGCGAGCTCCGTGTCGTTGGCGCGGTTCGCCTCTTTGGCCCGCTTGAGCCTGTGGTGCCGCTGGCGGAGGTGCCAGCCGGTGACGCAGATGGCGACAAGGACTATGATGGCGCCGATGACGATACCGAAGATGGCGCCGCCGGTGAGTGTGAAACCGTAGCCCTCCATATTGCTTATGGATTGCTGGGTGGTGATGTGGATATCTTGAAGGTCTTTCGTGCACGTATGAATTGTATAGCTCAAATGGTTCCCCTTATTGAAGAGGGGATGTAAACTTCTGTTGATGGTAAGCAAATGGAAATGTTCTAACCAACTGCAGTTAGGCAAGCTCGTTCTATATAGTACCGAAAGCTGTCGATAATGTCATTGGTTCTGTTATTGAGAACAAGGCAATGTTCTGCACTCTTTGTGGTTCAAGAAGCTGTCCTCAAAACACTCGAATCACCTAGTATCAGACAATGAACAGACACACAGCCACCAACCCAGGGAACTACGGTCCGGCCCGAGTTTAGCAGTTGTTCCGTTGTTACTGAACGCTCTTGTTGTACGGGGTTGGCATGTCAGTAGCCTCATGATTGCAACAAGTGTGAGGGAAATGATAGGTTGTGAATAGGGGCATCATCATTGCTCCCAGACAGATGTGTTCAACACGGTTGCCATATCATCTCAACATGACAATACTATCACTGTAATCTTGCCATGTCCTCGCTGTCAACACCGAAAAACAGACGCGAGTTTTCAGAACCGAGCATTAATAACAGCCACTCGCAGGCAACCCGTGTGAAGAAACAAGACACCATAGTCCCGACGCGTCGAACGCGTGCCTTCCTTCCATCTCAGAATCGCCCCTGTTTGGTGTTTTCACCGCCATCCTGCTCGATTATCCTTTATCCCCTCTTTCCACAAACTGGTGCTTCATCACAAGCTTCGCACACAACACCACAGACGATACGCCCCTCGCGCTCCGCTCTCAAGACCAGCTGCGCACGCCAAGCCCTTGTCTCACAAACAAGCACCGTTCAACCTCCTTCAAACCCCTTTTTACCCTCTTTGTCCGGGCAGCACGCGTCTCTGAGCCGCCATGCCCGTCGTAGCCAACTACCTGGTGCCCGACCGGCAGGTCGCCAGAACACTCACGGCGCAGGTAGAGGCGTCGTCGACGGCGGCCCTCCCACACCCCGCTCCTCCGCTCCCCGTCCCCGAAGCAAACTTCATCCCCCTCTACGTGCTCCTGGCCCTCGTGCCCCTGACCTTTCTCGCCGTCGGCCTCTGGGCCTGCCGCCTCGAGCGCAGAGCAGCCCGCGCCCAGGCCAGCGGCGACATCGAGCTCCAGACCCTCCGAACCTTCTGGTTCCCCTGGCGCGAGGCCGTCGAGGTCAGCCCCCCCGCAGCGGCCGCCGCCTCCGAGACAGCCACGCTCGCGCCCGGAGCTGCGGCGAACCAGGCCCCCCACGTTGACACCGACACCCCTGCTGCTGCCGCCGCCGCGGCGCCGCTGGCACCCGAGGCAGCGACCACAAGCCAGCACCTCAGCTC